GGTCTCATGATGGAGACGTTACTGGGCCCGCTTGAGCAAATCGATGAGCAACGGGAGGACAGTGCTATATTAATTATTGTTATTTTGGAGCAGAGGGGTGCTACTCTGGTCAATGCTTGCTCAGAGATCACTACCAGCCATGCTTGGGGGGGGACCAGGCTGGACTGGGCCTTGAATCCAGGCCTCCTCTGTGCAAAGCCTGTGCTCCTCCCACCGAAGTGTCTCTCCAGCCCTGGGCCTTCACACCACATTTCTGTTGCAGTATTATTGTGTTGAACAGGGATGGTGAAGGCAGAATCCTAGTTTATTACTGGTTTCAATAGGAATGCCTCTAGTGCTTCATGGTTAATTATAACATTGACTCTTGGTCCGAAATAGAGATCCTTAATCACGCCAAGAATGAGCCTTTCCAGTCCTTTTTGGCTGTATTGATTAGGCAGAAACAGCTGTTCGATTGTAATCAATTTTCCGCTGCATACACTGGAATCAATCTGGTTTGGCTTCTTAGGCCATTAGCATGACGCAGTCACTATATTAAGGTTTCCTAATATTGACACCCCCCCCCCTGGGTTACAGCGGATGGGCGGTTTCACATAATATTGGATTCTACTTCCGACACTGCATTTTCTTCCTTTGCCATGGTCTCTTTGCCATGTTTAATATCAGGCTCATTTTGCCTGGCAGATGAATCGGAGAGCTCTCCATCTTCAGCTACACCAGGGAAGAGCTTCACGTTATCAGTATTATCAAATTTGAAATAATTACCTAGCAGAACACTTTGGATTGGCATCTGCTTTGAGAAAAGGGGGCAGCGCTTTGATAACGATCTCCCCCAAGTTTTTCTCATTAACAGCATATACGCTTTCAGAAAGGCATTCATTTAATTGAGATTTTCCAATTTTAGCCTATTGTCAGGCTTGAATTTAAGTCATATTTTAATCTATCTATTGCAATGGCCTCTCTCTCATTCTTTTCTTTTCCCCTCTTTTACTCTCTTTTTAGTGCTCAAATATATCTGCTAGAGATGTGACCACTGCTATTTGTTTAAAAACAGAATCAGAGCTTGGTTATAGCTGCTAATTCACAGCGTTCCTATTTTCCAATTCATTCATTTTTTCACCCTTATCTTTGTTTTGTTTTCTGTTTCTATTTTCCTTAGGGACAGTTTTTAATTCTTTTTTCCCCTAAGATTTCAGGTCAAAAACTTGCTTCATATTCTCTCCCCGTGAATAATAAAATGTTTTAGGACCAAGAACAGGGCTGGAGTGATAATACAGCGGGGAGGGTGCGCTTGCCGTGCACACAGCCCATCTTGGGTTTGAACCCTGGCACCCCGTATGATCAAACACACCAGGAGTTAATTCCTGAGTGCAGAGACGAGAGTAACCTCTGTGCATCACCAGATGTGGCCCACAAACAAACAAACAAACAAACAAACAAAATACTAAGAGAACAGCCTGACGCTCTGGATCCCAGAAGCTAGTGGGGTGGCACCCTGGCTTTCAAAGCTCGCTAGATATCCATCACTATGTTCTCTATTGCTTCCTTCCGTGGTCCAGGACCAATTCAGGGGAGAGTTTCACACGTTCCCAAGTGGTTGGGAATATGCGTTAGTCTGCTTCAATCTCTGTCTTGGCGAGATTTCCTGCAAGGCAATCTAAGGGCTTCCCGGCTGGCGTGACTTCTGTTTTGGGATGGAACGTGGCTTCTTCCAGAAATGCTCGCACAGCGTCTGCTCACTGGCAAAGCCTGAGCGCTTCTGGAAAGTTCTGTGCTTGCCACAATGTTGTGTCAAGTGAAGAAGGAAAAAAAGGATAAAAAGTTCAGGTTCTGGGGCTGGAGCAATAGCACAGTGGGTAGGGCATTCGCCTTGCAGGTTCGATTCCCAGCATCCCATATGGTCCCCTGAGCACCACCAGCAGTAATTCCTGAGTACATGAGCCAGGAGGAACCCCTGTGCAATGCCAGGTGTGACTCGCTTGGGTGCTTGGCTGCCTGTTGAACCCACGGGCTAGGAAGCCCAAGGGGCTGCCGAAGAAGCTATTGTTCTTTTCACATAGGGGAAAATCAGGATTTTTAGCACCTTTTTTTCTCTATAAACTGGGAGCAATGGCCGGAGCAATGGTATAAACTGGGAGAAATGGACAGAGCAATGGTTTAGCAGACAGGGCGATTGCCTTGCAAGTGGCTGACCTGGGTTCGATCCCCGGCAGCCCATATGGTCTCCCAAACACAGTCAGGAGTAATTTCTGAATAACCCCTGAGCATTGCCCTCGGTATGATCCAAAGGGCCAAAACAAAAAACTTTTAAAAACTAAAAATAAAAATAAAACTGATATCCCCGTGGGTTTATAGCTTAAAGACTCTTCTTGATCACTTCCTACGGTGTGGGGACGGAAACCGTGTGGCTATGCTTATGCCAAGCCCACCAAGACGGACTGGGGATGTAAATGAACATGGGCTCTCCGTGGCACATCCCACTGATGCACTAAAGGCTGGAGGTGAGCCAGTCATCCTCCGGAGGATGTAGAGGATGAGGGTGCTCATCCTTTAGACACTCGGGGCTTCATCCCACTGCCCAGTGCCAGGGCCCTGTCCTGACCTCAGTTTCCCTGTCTCAAAGTGGGTCAGCACAGGCTGAAGCTGCATCTCGGGGGGCATGAGCAGAGATGAGGATCTGAGCTCCCCAGAGCTCCTGAGACAGAGAAAGTGACAGATTGGGGGAGTGACACCCTTCAGGCCCAGCGCCCAGTCCAGGACAAGGGATCTACAGACACCAAGTCCCCACACCCGGTGAACTCAGAGACTAAAAGCAGGGCTGGGAAAACTTTCCTTAGGGTCTTTCAGGCAGCACAAGGAAGCAGAGAGGGCAAGAAAGCATTCTTTTATCAATGATCTGGAAACAGCTGAAATCAAGCTGGATTCTGGGGTGAGGTGAGAAGAGATTAGGCCCAAGGAGGGTTCCTAGACTCAGACCAGCCTACCCTGGGGCTCTGTCCTCGAGCACTTCACAAGCATGTTCAAGTATTTCAAGCATTTAACAAAGCTGCCTCTTTGCTCACAGCTGCTGGGGTTGCCCACAGCCTTCAGGTGAGTTCAGACATCCAGTCCTCTTCCCCACCCAGTTCTTCCTCTGCCCCTCTGACACCTCTCCCTCTGCCTTTGCTGGTTCTAGTCCCCTGCGGAAGGCCCCTGACTCCCCCAAGCACCCATCTGCAGGCAGGAGTGCCAACTTCCGGGGTCCCTATTCTGGTATCCTTTTGGGTGACAACCTCACAGGAGACAGAGGTCACGCTGGTCCTCCCAGCACCCTTAGATGTTCGTTGACCCAACAAGGGGGCAGAGGGCAGAAGGGGGGTTTGGAGGGAGAGATGGATCTGGGCTTTGCAGCTACAGGGGATGCGACAGCTGTGCTGGACACAGTGCAGGGTCAGGATGTGACACTCCTCTGGTGAGGGGACAGTGAACTCTGACCCCAGGCCTAGTCCTGCCTGATGCTTCCCCCCTCCACCGACAGAGGGATCTTTGATCCTGCAAGTGGCCTTCCAGCGACCACAAGGCTCCCAAAGCTGAGAAAGTGTCAGAAGGCAGAGGCAACTTTGGGGCAAACATTCCACTCAGCCTGGGAGTTGGATGCTGCTAATCCGGGGGTCACCCCTTTCCCTAACCACCCAAGTGCTTACCCTTTGGCAGGTCCAACCCCAAAGGGGCCCTTGTTCTCCCTGCTCATAACTGGCTAAGAAGCAAAGTGACAACTTCCACTCGACTGATATAAGGGGGCAAGGGAGAATTGCCCTGGCAGTACCAATGAAGGAGTAGGGATGAAGGATGGGGGGGACCCTGGAGGGAGGTCACATCCACTAGGCGGGTGACGACCTAAATGCCAGAGCACTGAAAGTCCTGCTGTCACACCGGGAAAGAGAAAAAGCGAGAGCAGACAAAACTCAGACCAAGTTCTCCAGCCCCATGCCCACCCTGCACCTCGCGAGCACTTGGGTCCTCAGGGTCTCACGAGCAGAAACTCCCCTCACCTCTGGGAGCTGGACTGCAGTCTGTGTTCTGGGCAGCAGCTGGCAGGAGGTCACTGGGCCTCCCCAAATTCCCATGTCCCACACCCTTCCTGAGGAAGGCGGAAGACAGGGTCCAAGCTCGACTGGGGCAGCACCGCCTGGACAGGGGAGGACAGGCTGGGGGCGGCACTGGTGTGGGGGAGGAAGAGCAGGATGATGGAGGAACTTGAACAGGAAAGAGCTGAAACTGGAAGGAAGGGCTGCAATCGGAAGGAAGGACTGGAACAGGAAGGAAGGGCTGGAACCGGAAGGGAAGGGAGGACAGGAACCGGAAGGAAGGCCCAATTTAACACCCATGACTGTTACTTCCTCAGAAATTCCAGGCCATGGGGGCTGGAGAGACAGTACAGCGGGGTGGGATGCAGAGGGAGACAGCAGACCCAAAGCAGTTTAATTCCTAGCACGACATAGGGTGCTCCTGGGCATAGAGCCAGGAGTAAGCCTGAGAACTCTGAGCGTGGCCCAACGGCCCAAACCAGCACCCAAACTGGGAAGGCAGCGGGTGGGTATTGACAGTGTGCAGTGCCAAGTGCTCCGGGCCACTGAGCCCTCTCCCAGGCCCCCAGGTTTACTTTGCAAGGAAACAACCAATGACTTCTACTCCTTGAACTCCTGATCCATCAGCATTAAGGAAACAACCAATGATGTTCTACTGCCTTGAACTCCTGATCATCTGCATTACAATGACAAAGATAACTGTCTTTCAATTTATCACCACCTGAACCCTAGCCCTCAGATCAGACAATCACACAAATAAGAAATGTGGCCCAGAGCTGGAGGGAGCTGGTCTTGCAAGTAGCTGACCTGTGTTCGTGCCCATCATACCCAGAGAGTCCCCTTAGCTCACCAGGAGTGACCCCTGAGTGCAGAGTCCACCCTCCGCACTGCATGGTGTGGCCCAAAAACCACCACCATAAAAGAGAAACTTACCCCGTGATCTAAGCATGGAAAGAGCTGGCAGATGGTACTGCGGGTGGCGAGCGACTTTCCTGCAAGGGTCTCGGGAGTCCTCTATCCTGGCATTGCAGCGCTACTAACTCTCACACATACCTGCAATACAAAGTGTGCATCTGTAGTTGGGCACCAGGATCCGCGGCCGGAGAATCGGAAATTTTTTTTCTTTTAATGTAACATAGGTGGGCTGGAAGGATAGGACAGTGGGGAAGACGCCTGCCTTACACACTGCCAACCTGGTTTTGATCCCAGCATCCCATATGGTCCCATGAGCTCTGCTGGGTTGGCCCAAAAAGGACAACAAAACAAAACTCATGTAACATAGGATCCCTCTACCCCCACCTTCACAAAAAACTATTCCAAAGCAATTCTCCTGTGAAACTCCTGGACCTGATGCAGGAAGGTGTAATCACCAAGCACAGGCACAAAGCAGCAACAAGGGATAGGATAGAGGGTGTGTGTGTACAGGAGTGGGGAGGGAGGCTCTTTGCCCACCCCTCAGGCCCTTCCCACCACTTCCTCTGGAAGTGACTTGAAACACACACGCAGGCTTTAGGGAAACAAGACTTATAATCCACCTAAAAGGAACATGAACCGCTTCTCAACATTTCTGGAGGGCGCTTGAAGCGTAGGAAAAATTCTAGAATGCTAGTCCAGAGCAGTACTATACAGTGGTACGGTGGGGAGGGCACTTGCCCTGCACACAGATGACCGGGGTTCAGTCCCCAGCACCCCAAAGCCTGCCAGGAGTGATTCCTGAGCTCAGAGAGAGGGACAAGCTCTGAGCATCGCTGGGTGTGGTCCCAAAACAGCCCCCAGAATGCGTCCTGGAGGCCAGAGCCATAGTATAGGGGTAGGGCGTTTGCCTTGCACGCACGGCTGGCCCAGGTTTGATCCCCAGCATCCCATATGGGTCCCCAAGCACCACCAGGGGTAATTCCTAAGTGCAGAGCCAGGAGTAACCCCTGAGCACTGCCAGGTGTGACCCAAAAAGACCAAAAAAAAAAAAAACCCGCAACACCTCAGAACACGTCCTGGCTCCTTCATAAGCATCACCCAAGAAAACAGTCCCCCCACCACACCTCGGCTCAAGTATGTTCACATCACTTCTTAGGAGAGGGAGAAAGAGAAACCAAGTTAGAGGCAGAGGTCGCCTCATCGCAGATGGTCTGTGTCCAAAATAATCAGCATGTCACCTTACAAGTGATCAGGCAGGGCCACAGGGGCCTTGCACGCGGCCCACCTACCAATGCATAAAGTCCTCCAGCACTGCAGGGAGTGATCCCTGAGCACAGAGCCAGGAATAAGTCCTGAGCACCGTTGAGTGTGGCCCAAATACTTGCCCCAACCCCCATCCCGGGCAATTAAAAAAAAAGTGACTAGGAAGATGCTGAATTCAACATGAATTTTATTCTTTTTGTTTTGGGGCCAAACCCAGTGATGCTCAGGGGTTACTTCTGGCTCAAGCTCGGTGCAAGTGTGTGTCGGGGGAGGGGTGAGTGTGTGTGGGGGATGCAGTTAGGTCAGGGAAGGGATCGCTACAACAATAATAGTTGGAAAGGATGCTCTGGCCTAGAACTGAGTGCTGAAAGGAGGTAAAATGATATACATGATAACCTTTCAGTAACAGCATTGCAAACCACAGTGCCTAAGAGGAAAATGAGAAGAGAGTGAGAGAGCGAGAGCCAGAGCAAGAGTGAGCGAGAACGAGAGGGGGGAGAGAGAGGGCAAGAGAGAGGAGGGAGAGAGAGAAAGAAAAAATGTCTGCCATAGAGGCAGGCTGGGGGGCGGGTGGGGGTGGGAGGGTGGGAGAGAAACTGGGGACACTGGTGAAGAGACGGGGGTAGGAGCACTGTATGACTGAACTTCAATCAAGAACAACTTTGCAACTATATGCCTCATGGTGATTCCATTAAAAACATATATACATGCTAAATATATATTTCGCTTTTTGGGTCACACCTGGCGATGCACAGGGGTTCCTCCTGGCTCTGCACTCAGAAGTTACTCCTGGCAATGCTCAGGGGACCATACGGGATGCTGGGAATCGAACCCGGGTCGGCCGCGTGCAAGGCAAACGCCCTACCCGCTCCAGCCCCCTAAATATATTTTTAATATCTTATTTGGGAGATATGACATACCAAAAAAAAAGTAACTACAGGTGGCTTTTCTTTTGCCCTGCTTACAGTTCCTAAAACCTCTGAGACAATCATAAACCTCTTGTAACAAGAAAAAAAATCATTAAAGCTTCTGTAAAAAGTGCAAGGAAGAGGTGTAAGACCCAGGACAGCTGACCGCTGGGATGTGATTCTGAACAACTGAGACTAGAGAGGGACGCCCCCGTGCCACCTGCAACAGTGCTGAGGAGGGATGGAAATCCTCCCGCGTCACCCAGGGCCAGCTCTGAGAGGACGGGAGCAGAGGTGTGAGAGGATCCAACCAGCTGAGGGACCGAGCTCGCCCAGGTTCCACGGACAGCCCTACTGGAAACTGAGCAGAGCAAAGCCAGGAGCAGCCCCCAAATCAGATCATTCAAAGAATACAAAAAGAAAACTTGGCCCTCAGCTGGACGCCAGCCACCTCTTATCTCTGCAGCGTGCAGGCTGAGGGGAGGGGGGAAGGCCGTTCCAAGCCCACCTGGGGGTGAGCCCCCGAAGGAGGAGGGAAGGAGGAGGGAAGAACAACTCCAGGAAGCTATGAGTAAAGCAGACTGGCAGAACTCTTCCTGATAAAGAGTAGAACACAAGATAATGGCAAGGAGCACCGGGAGGGTGTTAGAACACTGGGACAGGCCCATTCCCAGGACAAGTGGGGGAGGGCACTCAGGGGAGCCATCCCCAATAGCAGATTAGGGATTCAGGGACCGCCCCGCCCCGGAGGCAAGAACGATAGCGCCCTGCATTCCTCCTCCCACCCCCCAACCCAGGGAAGGAAACCCAGAGCCCTGGGCTGAATTATTCAAACTTCAGGTGACCCTGAGTGGCAAGCCTGAGTGGCAAGGGAGCCGTCTACATGTCAGCCCTGTGACCAGATGCTCTCGGTTATCTCTCTGGGGTCAAATATCAAATCCACCCAGCAGGACCGCTGAGCACGCCACAGTCTGGGCACCTTCCACGGGGACAGCTCTGACCATGACCAGACGAGAAGGTACCCCCGGAGCCCCGGGGAGCACAGGGAAGGGGGCGCCATGAGCATCAATCAGACCCAGTCCCCCACTCGGAGCCAGTCTGGGTCGCATGGGGCAGGCGCGCCCATCTCGCTCTAGCTGGGTTGTTTTGTTTTGTTTTTTTTGGGCCACACCCAGCGGTGCTCAGGGCTCACTTCTGGCTCAGTATCAGGAATCACTCTAGGCTCTGAGCTCACTCCTGGTTCTGTGCTCGGGGCTCATTCCTGGCTCTGTGCTCAGGGTTCACTCCTTGTTCTGCCTTCAGGGCTCACTCCCGGCAGGCTTGGGGTCCAGGGATATATGGGTCAAATCCGGTCGGTTGCAGGCAAGGGAAGCACTCTGCCCTCTGGACTATCACTCTGGCCCCCAGGAATCTGTGGCTCTCACAGCACTCAAGTTCCCATCCCTGGGAAGTTCCCCCTACAAATGACACCCTCCTACTACAGATGGCAGCACCTTTGGCTTTGCTCCCTGGCTTCAGGGAGCGTCAGTCCCTTAACTTTGAAAGCAACACAGGTGTTTCTGGGCAACAAGACCCTGCGGCCCTTTAATCAAAGAGATGCCATCCCGGAGCACCTCAGGATTGGAAACAGAAACAAAAGGCAATTGTGCCGGCATCTTCCCAGCCCTCACGCTTTTTACCCGGAAAACTTCCCCACTACAAAACAGATGCAAGGCCCCAGCCCGATCGATGGCAAATGCGACCTGGGCCCCTGGCAGCAGCTGGTACAGACCTTGCCAGTTCAGACCGTTGTTAACAGTGCCTGAAAGTCGTGGGGAGGTTCCGACACTGATGAAAGTGGGAACTTCAAAGGCATGGCGGCTCCAGGGTCTGTTGTGGCTTGTGGGTAGGACAGACCCCACCACCTACCAGAGCTCTGCCCCTGAGGACAGCACCTAGGCTCTCACCTACAGAGACCAGAAAGGCCCCAGACACAGACAAGGCAGAGCTTCTGAGGTGGGGCAGGTTCTCAGGGACGCTTCGGCGACACAGCAAGGCACAGTGACTTTGTCGGAGCTACAGACTCTGGTGGGTCCTCAGAAACTGGAAGGGGAGGCTGGTGAGCCTCGGGCCTAGCCTCTTCCCTTTCTGCAAAACATCGTTTTACTCGGTCAGAGAAGAACGAAATTCACTAGGTGAAAAAGGGTGTGTCACGAAGACTAAGTGGGCAGAACTGGGCATTCTGACCCTCATTCAAGACAGTCTTGAGAGCAACAGGCCAAGCACAGGCAAATGGGTTTTGCATGTGGTGGCCCCAGGTACGATCTCGGGCTCTGTAGTCTGGGGAGCACCCCTGCACTTGCCTTGCACGCAGGCCCATGGTCCACGAGCATCACCAGGAGTAATTCATGGGCATCAACAAGTGGGGCCCAGAAAAGCCAAACCAAAAAAAAGAGCCTCGTCAGACTTTAGTGGTCCCCCAACCAACATGGGAAGCCCATTTGCATGGGCTTGGTCCCTTGCACCGCTGCACCCGAAAGCCAACAGAACATTATCTTCAGCTGGGCCTGGGAGATGCGTCAAAGGGCTGGAGCACGTTTCTTTTCACATGCACATGGTCCCAAGCACCAGTGGGTGGGCCCGCAACACACACCCCCACCCCCAAGGAAATGTCTCTGAGACAGACGATTTCATGTCACGTGGGAGCGCCCACAATCTCTCCCAGCCACAGAGATGCTGTGACATCATTTCTCTACCAGCTCTCCACCCACAGGGACGGCAGCCGTTTGCTCTTGCTCTTCCCTTCTCCAGGCAGTGAGCGGCTCATTTCACGGGCACACACACACCTGAGAGAAGATTCTGGAAGGAAGAGGGCCCAGACACTTTCTTCATCCTGCTGTGTGCGTGGGGTCACGCCAGCAGTGCTGGGGAGTTGGGGGGGATGGCAGAGCAAACCCAGGGTGGAGCGCCAATCCCTTGAGCCCCAGC